TGTCTCACTGTTCCTCATGCTGTTTACCTCAGTCTCACTGCGTATCAGACGCCGTGTGTTCCGGACCCTAGAACCACCGTGTTTCCCCTGTGTTTCAGACGCCGTGTAATCCGGACCCTTAAAACACCTGTGTAGTGTGTATAACGTTCACTGTGTTCCAAACGCCGTGTGTTCCGGACAGTGGCGGATCCAGGAGGGGGGCCATGGCCCCATGGCCCCCCTCCTGGATCCGCCACTGGGGCCTCCCGGGGGGCACCATCACGGCAGGGGCACCACAGGCCCATCAAGGGCACCACAAGCCCGCCAGGGGCATCACAGGCCTGTCAGGGGCACGACAGGCCTAGCAAGGGCACCACGAGCCCGTCAGGGGCACCACTGGCCTGTCGGGGACACCACTGGCCTGTCGGGGACACTTCATTCTTGTCAGTGGCACCACAGTCTTGTCAGGGCCCATGTTCACCACAGTCCTTCCAGGGGCACCACACAGGCCTGTCAGGGGCACATTGGGCCCGTCAGGGGCACCACGTGCCTGTTGGGGACACTTCAGGCTTGTCAGTGGCACCACTGTTCTGTCATGGCCCAGGGGCACCACGGGCCTGCCAGGGGCACTACAGGCCTGTCAGGGGCACCACTGGCCTCGCAGGGGCACCTTGGGCCCGTCAGGGGCACCACGGGCCTGCCAGGGGCACCACAGGCCTGTCAGGGGCACCACTGGCCTCGCAGGGGCACCTTGGGCCCGTCAGGGGCACTACGTGCTTGTCGGGGACACTTCAGGCTTGTCAGTGGCACCACAGTCCTGTCAGGGCCCAGGGACATCGGCGGCCTAGCAAGGGTACCACAGGCCTGCCAGTGGCACTACCGGCCTAGAAGGGGCACCACTGGCCTCGCAGGGGCACCACTGGCCTCGCAGGGGCACCACTGGCCTCGCAGGGGCACCACTGGCCTCGCAGGGGTACCTTGGGCCCGTCAGGGCACCACAGGCCTGCCAGGGGCAACACAAATCTGTCAGGGGCACCTGCGGCCTAGCAGGGGAGCCACAGGCCCGCCAGGGGCAATAAACACAAAAATTTTAAAAAAGCCTGAAAATAGGGCACCATCAAAATGAAGTCTCCGAAAACCGTTGAGTTTTTAATTTTGGGTATAGGTAGGAGCACCAATTCGATTCATGCCCCCTTGGAGTTTTCCTGGATCCGCCACTGGTTCCGGACCCCTAAAAACACCTGTGTGGTGTCAGTGTGCATCCCGTCTCACTGTCTTTCATACGCCGTGTGTTCCTGACCCTAGAACCACCGTGTGTAGTGTGTATCCCGTCTCACTGTGTTTCAGACGCCGTGTGTTCCGGACCCTAAAACCACCGTGTGTAGTGTGTACCTCATCTCACTGTGTTTCAAACGCCGTGTGTTCCGCACCCTAAAACCACCGTGTGTAGCAAGGCTATAGAACTCCAGGTAAGGACACCAGCCGTTTGACCTTGAACGCCGCCGGCCGGCCGATGACGTCATTGGAGGCAAGCCGGCTCGGCGGACACACAGGGCGAATGCATAACGGAGGGGCGTTGGAACGTTGCGGGAGCCAGGGAGATATTTTAAAGTGGTTGCATACCACCATTGTTTGTTGATTGATCTACAGACTGCATCCTTTTAAACCTCGATGCATCCTAGGCCTGGATGGTGCGTACATTCGTGGAACGATCACCCCGTCCGACGTCCGTGGTCGAAGCTGTCATAGTATTTAAGACACTAAGACGGGTGCAATAACGGCGATCCGATCCCGTCTCTGGCGAATTTAGAGGGGTCGTAAGGACCCAGGCCGAATCTGACCGTCTATTTTTAGGGAAACGGGATGGGTGAATTGACAACCGCTGGCTTAAGAGATGATGAGAAGGGATCCCGTCGTCGATTGTTGTTTGACAGACAACACATGTTGTACTGGGTGTATGACCATCAGAGGTAATGCCTGAACGTAGGCAAGCATAGTTGGTCTGTCATATTGTTTAGGAATATAAAATGGTAATGGAGATCATTGAGGATATGATCTCTGCATTACGGGAATTCACTATAATTACTACGGCCCATAGGGGCACCGCCGGAGCTGTTGTTTTGCCATCGGTCCCAGGCAACTCCAGGGAGCTGCAGTACCCGGCGGCCAAAGCGGCCACCTCGTCGACTCGCAGGTCCTCTGGGATTCCGTGATGCTTTAGTGCTTCACCCACAGAAGCACGGGCATAGCAGTAGGATGTGGGGCTAGGTGTCTGTCCACCTCTTCATTCAAAGAACAACGTGTACAGCGCCTGGTCCCGCCGAAGCTCGGTATCGACCGTGACTTAATCACGACTGGCGGATCAAAAGGTTTCTCGGAATTAGTTTAAAAAAACTCGGATTTCGATTCCTTGCGCAATGCTGTGCGGTGTGATTAACCAACATTTCCTCAGAAAAGTTGTGAAGTTTTCATTTATTCTCGGAAATCGATTTCGGGCGCTGCCCTGGTTGTTGGGGAAGACATTTGCCCCAAATGTCTTCCCCTGGATCCGCCAGTGGCCGTTGCCCCACTCCGAGCTTGACTAAAGACGTCTTCAAACCTCACCAGAAACCGATGGTAAGGGGAATTGAAATCCAATAACTCATCTCTGTCTGCCCGCCAGAGCCTATTTTAAGGGAATTTGACTGGGGGGGCAACCTGGAAAATTGTCTTTAATAATCCATTAACCCTCGCCCGTATTGGTGTTTCCAGTAGCGAGCGTATAGGGGGGGGGGGGGGCGTTGGACCCTCACCCTTGCCGCTTCGCCCCTGATCGAGCTAGAGCTTGCTTCGCGGAAAAAACGACCGTGTTGCCCGTGATAAAAGGAAGCCGATTATACCCAATTTTAAGGTCCTAGGTCATCGGTTGACCTTCCAGGTCAGGTCATTGACCCAAAAGTCGGGAAAATCGGGACCTGTTAGAGCGTCGTAAAGAGTGGCTGCTATGGTTTTTCGGGGTGCTGATCACGAATATCATGTTAGTTATGATCATAGATGATGTCTTCATGCATTTAGGCCAGGTCAGGTCAGGTCAGGTCAACCAGTAAGGGTTTTGCCGGGTATTCGTAGTAGGTGGCAACCGCCTCTGACAGCTTCGTAACATGTTACGAAGGCACCAAAACTACTTCGTAAATGGTCAAATGGTTGCTTAATTCGAATTCAGCTCCAAAAACTAGCCTAGAAAGTAGAAACATATAAAACTCGAAAATGTGAACCGAGGTCATCAAAGGTAAATGATCTGACCTGACCTTCCGGTGATCTTGACACTAGAGGTGGCAAAATGTGGACCCGAGGACCCGGTCCAAAGAACCAGTTTGGACCCATATGGGTCCAGACCGGTTCCTGGAAATTTTCTGACGGGTACAACCGGATCCTACCATAAACTATACATCTTGCACACTACACATTATTGCAAAATATGAAGTAAATGAAGTGAATGTTTCTTTGCACACAGTAGCTCATGCCATGAGTATTCTCAGTGGGAAATAGGCTGTTTTACAAGATGCAACTAATGATACCTACAAGTAGTTTGTATTAATTGACTTTAGGGGAACGGGTCCAACTGGTTCCGAGTCCAACTAAGACCGGGTCCGACTGGTTCCAGAAATGTCCAGCCGGGTCTGGTTCGAGTCTGGTTCCCAAAATTTTCATCTTTTGCCACCTCTGCTTGACACCCACCCTAATGCATGGGAGCTACATCATATCCCATGTTTGAACGTTTGAAACCACGAAAAGACTGCAAACGCGCGGCTAATGCGAGGCGACATACGCCGAATCGCGACCTCGGCCAAACATGGTGCCATGGTGCTAGGCCGCCGGTGCATCTGAAAGAACTGTGGTGCCCCTGACAAGCCTGAAGTTCCAACGACAGGCCCGTGGTGCCCCTGACAGGCCCATGATGCCTTTGCGAGGCCGGTGGTGTCCACGTGAGGCCGGTGGTGCCCCTGGGCCCTGACAGGACTGTGGTGCTCTTGACAAGCCTGGAGTGTCCCCGACAGGCACGTAGTGCCACTAACAGGCCCAAGGTGTCCCAGTCCCTGCGAGGCCGGTGGTGTCCCTGCCAGGCATGTGGTGTCCATACTTAGGCCTCTGGTGCCCCTGACAGGTCCGTGGCGCCCTTGCTAGGCCTATGGTGCCTCTGGCAGGCCTATGGTGCCCCTGGCGGGCCTGTGGTGGTACCCCTGACAGGCCCAAGGTGGTGCCCCTGCGAGGCCGGTGGGGCCCCTGGCAGGTCTGTGGTGCCCCTGGCAGACCTATGGTGCTCTTGCTAGGTTGATGGTGCTCCCAACAGGCCTGTGGTGCCCCTGACAGGCCGGTGGTGCCCCTGGCAGGCCTGTGGTGTCCCCGGGCCCCAAGAGGGTGGGGGGTCATGACCCATATGACCCACCCTTAGATACACCACTGGTCATTACTTACAGACTGACTCAATTGACATCCATTGCAAAACAAGTCACAGTAGTTACGTAGTATGTTTGTCACCCTGTTCCTTTATGCCCATTTTTATAGTGGGCAAATCTCGACGACTAGGGGGGCAATTCTGTTGAGTGCGGGGGCATTTGCCCCCCCAGTTAACATGTTAAAATAGGCCCTGCTGCCCGCCTAAATATACTACACATGGTACAGCACCCGGCCCTGTCGGAGCTATGAGCCGATCGTGATATTTTCGGCTTTCCCGGCCCAAGCTCGATTAGAAACGTTCTCCTTCGCCACCCGATTGCTGATGTCAATTCAAATTCAATGCCTCATCTCTGTCTGCCCGACCATAACCCATTCATTGCACACCGTTCAGCGCCCCGCCCCGCCAGAAGTATCCTAGCGCGCTGAGCAGTTGCCTCCAGCCGCGTCATCGCGAGGCCCCGCGCGGCCCATAAATGAATACATTGCGCGAATAGCCGTGTCGCCCCCCTGGTGTGTAGTGTGTATCCCGTCTCACTGTGTTTCAGACGCCGTGACTGTGCGTTCCGGACTGTAAAACCACTGTGTTTCCCGTCTTACTCAGTGTATATTTGTCTCGGTTTCCGCGGACCCGCCGGCCGGCCGGCTGTCCACAGTATCCACCATTTTATGCCCCGCCCACCGCGGACCCGCCGGGGGCGGTTTATGCCCCGCCCAGTTCCGCCGGACAGGCCGGGGCGTTTTCTCCTGTATAAGACCGGGTGGTCGGCCGGCCGGCCGGCGGGCCAGGGACCACCGCCTACCCCTGCAAATCGCACCACACGCCGCGCGAGGCCATACAATGACGTCACACCACAGTCGGCCGGCCGGCAGCCAATCAGCGGCCGCCGCGAACCACCGGCAGCCAATCAGCAGCCGCCGCCGGCCGCCGCCCGGCTAAACACCGATCTCCAAACCCAAACCAAGTCCCGGAGACGTCCCAGCTGGACACCAGTGACGTCATAGCTAAACACCAGTGACGTCACACCTAAACGCCCCGGTGACGTCACCTAAGGAGTGGATGACGTCACGCTATACGAGACCGGATCACACGTCCTCTCCGGGCCGCGCCCGCCACATGTGCACGTGCTCTCCCGCTCTCTCTCCCTCTCTCTCTCTCTCACGCTCCCACTCTCGCCAGTCTCTGCTCCCGAGCGAAGCCGAGCTGCTTACGCCTCCAGCTCCAGGCAGAGGCCCAGCTTGTGGCCGCCCTGGTTGAAGTTCTTGGCGTCAATCATGCTGGAGAGCGTCAGGGTGACACCTGTCGGACGCAGCGAGAAGCTCAGGTTCGGTCGCCGCCACGGGGCGGCGGAGGGGCAGCGATGGTGTTCATGACGCGTAGGTGATGTGATGACGCCAAATAATAAAATATTTTTGCGTGATGCACACAATATTCTAACAATGCTCTATATTTATGCATAATATTTTGCGCCGGTAGTGTAAAACATTTTCACCAAACAATAGACAAAATAAGGCTGAAATTTCACAGGCTCCAAAAAATGAGATAGATGAAATGTTAATTTAAAACTGCAAAACAAATGCCAGCAACATTTTGTTAATATGCTTAGGAAATCCAGCACGTGTAACTATCTGCTATCAGATAATCTTGCCACAGTTTCATCACGACAAAATAGAAACTACGGGTAAAAATATTGAAATTTAAAATACTGAAATTAAAATATTAAAATTTAATATTCTTAAATATGTTTGGAAACTTTATGTCTGCAGTGGGATTTGAGCCCGCGCTGTCGGCGCACTGACCGTCTCGGATGCGCTGCTGGTAGCCGAGGCCGACCTCGGAGCTGTTGTTGACCTTGGCGCGGAAGCTACTGTCCTTGTCGACAGAATACTTGGCGCCGAGGGCGAACCTGCACAGAGGTTGACCCGTTAGTCACGTGAGCAGCGACACATGTCAGCTGACCAGAAGGGAAACGTGGGACAAATATCACGTGAGCGGAGGCAAATGTCAGATGACCAGGAGGGAAACGTGGGACAAATATCACGTGAGCGGAGACAAATGTCAGCTGACCAGCAAGTCACTTGTCTAGGCGGAAAGCGAGACAGACTGATGTCACGTGATCACAGACGAGTACCGTCGGACCAGGCCGGCAGTGAGGGGCACATGTCACGTGGTCAGGCCCGGGGTAAAATAAACCACTCAGCTACCCTCTGCTTTAACACGGCCTCACTTATCTTTTTTTCAATTTAGTCCGAACCTTTTGATGGGGAAGGATCCACAAGGACAGAGCCACCGCTAAGCGAAGCTTGTTGCGATGACCCTGCGCTCTACCCTCCGATCGCGCAATTCCGATTCTATGGCAGAATTTAGAGTCCAAAGTTTAACGTGCGCACAAAGCCGCGCATTTTCTCACAATATCTGGCTCAGCTCACTACATAGTCACTTTTCATTTATCCATTCATCGACCTACTTGTTCGTTCCTTCGTCCGTCCGTCCGTCCGTCCATCCATTCATTCATTCATTCATTCATTCATTCATTCATTCATTCATTCATTCATTCATTCATTCATTCATTCATTCATTCATTCATTCATTCATTCATTCAACCATTCATCCATTCATTCACCCATTCAATCATTTACTCACTCACTCATTCATGACCGTACATTCGATCCTCAGCCATGCCTCACGCCTCCCTCATTTTCCGGTCGAAGTTGCACCACCAATAACCGGTGCCCACCCGCAGCGGATGATTTACATCACTGATACACAGTCCGTTCTATGCAGGTCCCGCTCCGGCCGCCGTACAGCGGTGCTGGCATGGTGCCAGGAGGCCGATCCCCCCCCCCCCCCCCGCGGTAGGGGACCGTGCCTAGCAACACAACCATGGACCGTTGGACACCCGCAGCGACCGGTCGACCCCAGCCGTAACGAACGAGGACATACCTGGAGGTCAGGGGCCAGGGGAGCCATGTGACGTAGGACCATCGTAGGACCAACTGACCCCGTGTTCGGAGTCTCTCAGACGACGGAGATTCCAAGCCGTCCGGCCAATCCGTTCCATAACCACAGCCGAGCCCCCGCTGACCTTGAACGGGATTGGCCGGACGACGTAGAATCTTCGCCGTCCGAGAGACATCGAACGGGGGGGGGGGGCGAATGACAGTAAAATGCGGAGGTCGTAGTACCACAGAATTTACAGCACACTGGCAACCAGCGGGTGTTAGGAACAATGTGAATTTGGAATTGTGCATTTCGGTCCTGGTCCGGGAGAATAAAATCTGTCCGGAGAACCGGCCAGCTGTTAGAACACTCAACAGGAAAGACATATGTTTGGCTTACTAATTGTGACAGTTGATAAAAGGTGTTCTCTCAATGCTGTAACTGCATGTTTTAGGCCGTAATAATAGCGGTTTTTCATCATACAGCCTGGAAATTTAAGAGATTTCAGGTGCCGGAGTATAATTTTGTAAAGGAGAACAAAATCGTTTGGACCCAACTGGGACCAGCAAAGGGCCTTGTTTCCTACATTGGTTAGGAATGGACTCTGCATTTGGCGTCGGCCGCAAATGTTTACTTGGCTCACGCATCCGCAAGTCTGAGGTAAGGCCCGACGCTCATACTGCCCGCGGACAGAGAGTGTTTTACTTTATCTGAGTGTGATTCGGCTTCAAGGAACTACCTGACCTGCAATGGCCCGGTGATTCTGTTACCACAAATGGCAAACTACTCTGGGCTCTTCAAAAACAACGGGCGGGGACCTAATAAAGACTGTATGCATCCAGCAGCGGCGCCGGCGAGGGCTCCCTCCCACCGATGTGTCCGTCTCACCACGTGCGCACGTTCCCAGAGCACGTCCTATGGACACTTATGACTCCTATGGTCCTAGTCGGCACTCGCCGTGTTTTGGCTGCGCTCTGCGGGGAGCTCCGGAGCAGAGCACGGCCACCCGTACACGCCGGTGACGGAGTGTTTCAGTCTGACTCAGTGGAGTTCACTCCTCACCACCTCACTCACTCATTAACTCCATTCACTGTTAGACACCCCCCCTGTCTGTCCTGTTGACCCCCCCCCCCATGGACCCCCCTCCCCCCCCGCAGCTCACTTGGTGGCGTTGGATCCGGCGGTCCATCCGACCTCGACGGCTCCCTCGATGTCGGGCGCCACCTTGCTGAAGACGCTGCCGGTGAACTGTTGACCGTCCAACACGGCAGTGTGTACGGTCAGGTCCTTGGCGGTGAACCCCAGTGCGAAGTTGGAGCGAGTCAGCTTGGACTTGGCAGTGTCGAACGACATCTGGTAGCCGGCCAGCCAGCCCTGCGGACACAGAGAGACGGGGGGGTCAGTTCTGTGGCGGAGGGAGGGAGGGAGGGAGGGAGGGAGGGAGGGAGGAGGAGAGAGAGAGGGAGAGAGAGAGAGAGAGAGAGAGAGAGAGAGAGAGAGAGAGAGAGAGAGAGAGAGAGAGAGAGAGAGAGAGAGAGAGAGAGACAGAGAGAGAGACAGAGACAGAGACAGAGACAGAGACAGAGACAGAGAAACAGACAGAGACAGAGACAGAGACAGAGACAGAGACAGAGACAGAGACAGAGACAGAGACAGAGACAGAGACAGAGAAACAGACAGAGACAGAGACAGCCAGAGACTGACTGAATAGAAACTAGAAAGGGGAGATTGACTTCTAAATAAGGCATAGCCCTACAGATGTTGATATCAGAGTGACAGCAGCACCTGCAGCTATAGCGGTGTCATGCTGTGCCCACGGGACCTGGCTCGGCGGGCTCAGGCCGGCCACTGCAGCCGACAGGGTCGGGGTCCGGCGGCCTGACAGGGACCCAGCACCCGCCGTCGGTGACAGAGGAGAGGGGTTGGGAGGGGAGGAAGGGAGGGAGGGATGCAGCCAGAGGCGCGACTGGCAACAGAACAGGGAGCAGCGGAGGAACGCAACAGAAAGGTAAGTGGAAGCGTAAAAAACGAACAAGGAACGTCAACATAAATGGAGACACTACGAGAAGTAGCGCAACAGTTTTGGGGTGGTCAGAGGGACGATCGTAGATCAGCTACATTGAATTAAAATGTCCACTCTTAGACTGTCTCTCTAACACAAAGCAGCAATGATGTTTTCCTGCATTAGGCGGCTGAGAAACCGCCGCCGATTTGCCGGTAAAGTTCGGGCCGCTGTCGGGATTCGATCCCGCGCACCTGGTAGCCGGCGACGGCGGCGCCCTGCACCACGGGTCCGTTCGGGTCCAGATTGACGTCGGCGTTGATGGTGCACTTGTCGTGTTTGTAGGTCGCCTTGGCAACGGCAGACTTCTTCCTGTGGGCCGGAGAGCACGGGGAAGAGTCGGTGACGGTGCAGGGACCAGCAGGGACGCGCCGGCTAGTCAGAGCAACACGATATAAAGGCCTGGCTACACTATGCGTTTTCTGCGTGCGTTTTTTTTTTGCGTGTTTGCGGGTTTTGCGTAATATCGTTCTAGAAAAAAGATTATTAATTAAACTTCTTTAATATTTATATAAAAATTAATAAAACGTTTATGTTGATTAAAGGTTTATATGAAAAACATATAACAAAAACGTAATGTCGTTTCTTTCTAAAACGATATTCCGCAAATCACGCAAACTCGCAAAAAACGCACGCAGAAAACGCATAGTTTAGCCAGGCCTTAACACGGACCACAGGCGGGGAGAGTCAGCGACGGGCGGGGGCAGTCAGCGGCCGGGCGGGGGAGTCAGCGGCCTGGCGGGAGACGCCGGCTAGTCAGAGGCAGCCACAGAATTTAGTTAAGTTCACTCATTAAATCATCCACAGGCACACACCCAATGGCGGATGAAGTCATGATACTAGTAAAACGCCTTTTGGGGCGACCAACGGAGCGAACGAGAGGGTGGGCCTTGCACGTGCATAAATGCGAGGGGGTACCTCCAGCTAACTTGTCCACTGCACCCTACTATCGGTCCCTAGCGATGTACCAAATTCCAGCACAATCGGTTCAGCCGTTCTGGAGATCTGGAATCGACCCCTACATGTGCGCACGTGCAGCTGCACCCCAACTGTGGCACATGGATATGCAGTGCCTAGTGGGTGCCTACCTACATGCCAACTTTCAGCGCAATCGGCCCAGTAGTTGCCGAGATATTGCAATTGTTGTAAAACTGACACCTCTTCGTTTTGCACGTGGCACGTGCATAAGGGGTCACCCACATGCATCGGGAATAGTCCAGTACTTGGTAGAACGAATGAAGCTACCCTACAAAAATTACCGCATGCCAATCGGTCCAGCGGCTGCTGAGATATAAGCCTCTCAAAAGCATGACGGCAGGGCCGGGCCGGGCCGGGCCGCTCATACTGAGATTTTTCCGCTATATAGAGAAAAGACTTCGCTCGCTCCGTTAATAAAACAATAACGAAAACGACAAAATACGGCATTACGGCATAGGCATCGGTAGTCTGCCCTGGCTTATCACATCAGTGTGACTGGGAGTGGGACCCCCCCCCCCCCCACTGACCCGGTCTGTGGCGCCAGACTGGTGTCCAGGGTCAGCTTCAGGCCCTCCTCCGACTGACACCAGTCTCCCCCCCCCTGGTCCAGCCCCCCCCCCCCCCACTGACCCGGTCTGTGGCGCCAGACTAGTGTCCAGGGTCAGCTTCAGGCCCCCCCCCCCACTGACCCAGTCCCCCCCCCCCCACTGACCCGGTCTGTGGCGCCAGACTGGTGTCCAGGGTCAGCTTCAGGCCCTCCTCCGACTGACCCAGACCCCCCCCCCCCTGGTCCAGTCCCCCACTGACCCGGTCTGTGGCGCCAGACTAGTGTCCAGGGTCAGCTTCAGGCCCTTGCAGATCTTATCCTCCAGTGTGATATCGGTGGAGAGGGTGTTGTCCGTGTTCCACTTCTCAGTCAGCGTCAGACCTGGTGGACAGGGGGGGGGGGGGGAGCGAGTCGTCAGTCAGCGTCAGACCTGGTGGACAGGGGACCGAGCCGTCATACAAGGCAGGGAGAGCGGCCGTCAGACAGTGTGGTAGACAGGGGGACCGAGCCGTCAGACAAGTTAGACAGGGGGAGCAGTCGTCAGACAAGGTAGACAGGGGGAGCAGCCGTCATAAAAGGTAGACAGGGGGTAGCGGCCGTCAGACGAGGTAGACAAGGGGTAGCGGCCGTCAGACGAGGTAGACAGGGGGTAGCGGCCGTCAGACAAGGTAGACAGGGGGAGCGGCCGTCAGACAAGGTAGACAGGGGGTAGCGGCCGTCAGACAAGGTAGACAGGGGGTAGCGGCCGTCAGACAAGGTAGACAGGGGGAGCGGCCGTCAGACAAGGTAGACAGGGGTAGCAGCCGTCAGACAAGGTAGACAGGGGTAGCGGCCGTCAGACAAGGTAGACAGGGGGTAGCGGCCGTCAGACAAGGTAGACATGGGGACCGAGCCGTCAGACAAGGTAGACAGGGGCAGCGGCCGTCAGACAAGGCAGACAGGGGCAGCGCCGCTGCTGCCGCAGCGGCCGTCAGACAAGGCAGACAGGGGGTAGCGGCGTCAGGTCAGGCCTGGTGGAGACAGAACATGGCTCAAACATGACCCTGGTGAGCTTCACCATGCAAATGGCTCTACAATAACGGCCAGGACCTGAAAATGACAGATAATAACTGCAAAGCAAGCATGGACTAGAGGAAATAGTAACGAATTGATCACGAACGATCGAGCACGTAAAGCTTAAATCAATCATTATGCTACAAGATCATTGTAAAGCATCAGTGAAGCATTAAGATTTAAGCATATAGAAAGAATCTCTTACTAGCCGAGTGCAGCTTTTAACTTTAAAAAATCGTAAATCCGTAAGGAGTGGTGTAATAAGGATTTCTAACAGCAAACCACATTTCTATTTAACGCGAATGAATGAATGGATGGTTGCACAGCCGGGCACACACCAAGTGGAGCTTGCTGCGAAGCAACATCAATGAACCCAACACCCGATTTTTGGTGAAGGGGGGGGGGACCACATCGCTCGTATGTCAACACCTAATTCCAGCTTATCCCAGCTAGGGAAGGCGGCACCGTATTTGTGTTCTTTCTGCCCAATTATTTACTCACCATGCTCCGTGCACTTGCACTTGGTCCCGGCATTTCCAAAATATCAAATCACCTACCTGGCGAGCGAATTAAACGTTCCGACATTGACATTGTGACCTGTAGGTACATTCATTATATAATTTAATTTTCAGCATATCAAAAGAACGCGACAAGAACAATAGCGTGATGAATGCCGTTCACAATGTAGGTTTTTAATGTTGAACCAAACAATGCATTTCGAAACCTGTGCCCGATGTGTCGACTTCGAACGATTTATACCGATTGTTTTTGATACTATGTGTTTTTAATTTAATCACTAGTGTCCACTGACGAAGGCACCCTGTGGCCGAAACGTCTGGTTTTAGGAATTTGACTTGTGTTGCCATCGATCGTGAATAAAAAAAAACTATATCACCTACCTATAACAGTGGGTATGATTTCAGTTGTTACCAACTCACCGTGCTCCTTGCACTTGTACTTGGTCTCCAGGTTTCCGAGATATCATATTACCTCTCTTTAACAGTGTATATAATTTCCGTATTAGTGTCTTCCCTGCCCAGTTATAGACTCACCGTGCTCCTTGCACTTGTACTTGGTCTCCAGGTTTCCGAGATATCATATCACTTACCTATGATTTCAGTTGTTACCCATGTCTAACTCACCGTGCTCCTTGCACTTGTACTTGGTCTCCAGGTTTCCGAGATATCATATCACTTACCTATGATTTCAGTTGTTACCCATGTCTAACTCACCGTGCTCCTTGCACTTGTACTTGGTCTCCAGGTTTCCGAGATAGCATATTACCTCTCTTTAACAGTGTATATAATTTCAGTAGGTATTAGTGTTTTCCCTGCCCAGTTATCTACTCACCGTGCTCCTTGCACTTGTACTTGGTCTCCAGGTTTCCGAGATATCATATTACCTCTCTTTAACAGTGTATATAATTTCCGTATTAGTGTTTTCCCTGCCCAGTTATTTACTCACCGTGCTCCTTGCACTTGTACTTGGTCTCCAGGTTTCCGAGATAGCATATTACCTCTCTTTAACAGTGTATATAATTTCAGTATTAGTGTTTTCCCTGCCCAGTTATCTACTCACCGTGCTCCTTGCACTTGTACTTGGTCTCCAGGTTTCCGAGATATCATATTACCTCTCTTTAACAGTGTATATAATTTCAGTATTAGTGTTTTCCCTGCCCAGTTATCTACTCACCGTGCTCCTTGCACTTGTACTTGGTCTCCAGGTTTCCGAGATATCATATTACCTCTCTTTAACAGTGTATATAATTTCCGTATTAGTGTTTTCCCTGCCCAGTTATTTACTCACCGTGCTCCTTGCACTTGTACTTGGTCTCCAGGTTTCCGAGATATCATATTACCTCTCTTTAACAGTGTATATAATTTCAGTATTAGTGTCTTCCCTGTCCAGTTATAAACTCACCGTGCTCCTTGCACTTGTACTTGGTCTCCAGGTTTCCGAGATAGCATATTACCTCTCTTTAACAGTGTATATAATTTCAGTATTAGTGTTTTCCCTGCCCAGTTATTTACTCACCGTGCTCCTTGCACTTGTACTTGGTCTCCAGGTTTCCGAGATATCATATTACCTCTCTTTAACAGTGTATATAATTTCAGTATTAGTGTCTTCCCTGTCCAGTTATAAACTCACCGTGCTCCTTGCACTTGTACTTGGTCTCCAGGTTTCCGAGATATCATATCACCTACCTTTAACAGTGTATATAATTTCAGTATTAGTGTTTTCCCTGCCCAGTTATTTACTCACCGTGCTCCTTGCACTTGTACTTGGTCTCCAGGTTTCCGAGATATCATATTACCTCTCTTTAACAGTGTATATAATTTCCGTATTAGTGTTTTCCCTGCCCAGTTATTTACTCACCGTGCTCCTTGCACTTGTACTTGGTCTCCAGGTTTCCGAGATAGCATATTACCTCTCTTTAACAGTGTATATAATTTCCGTATTAGTGTTTTCCCTGCCCAGTTATTTACTCACCGTGCTCCTTGCACTTGTACTTGGTCTCCAGGTTTCCGAGATAGCATATTACCTCTCTTTAACAGTGTATATAATTTCAGTATTAGTGTTTTCCCTGCCCAGTTATCTACTCACCGTGCTCCTTGCACTTGTACTTGGTCTCCAGGTTTCCGAGATAGCATATTACCTCTCTTTAACAGTGTATATAATTTCCGTATTAGTGTTTTCCCTGCCCAGTTATTTACTCACCGTGCTCCTTGCACTTGTACTTGGTCTCCAGGTTTCCGAGATAGCATATTACCTCTCTTTAACAGTGTATATAATTTCCGTATTAGTGTTTTCCCTGCCCAGTTATTTACTCACCGTGCTCCTTGCACTTGTACTTGGTCTCCAGGTTTCCGAGATAGCATATTACCTCTCTTTAACAGTGTATATAATTTCAGTATTAGTGTTTTCCCTGCCCAGTTATCTACTCACCGTGCTCCTTGCACTTGTACTTGGTCTCCAGGTTTCCGAGATAGCATATTACCTCTCTTTAACAGTGTATATAATTTCAGTATTAGTGTTTTCCCTGCCCATTTACCGACTCACCGTGCTCCTTGCACTTGTACTTGGTCTCCAGGTTTCCGAGATAGCATATTACCTCTCTTTAACAGTGTACATAATTTCAGTATTAGTGTCTTCCCTGCCCAGTTCTCACCGTGCTCCTTGCACTTGTACTTGGTCTCCAGGTTTCCGAGATATCATATTACCTCTCTTTAACAGTGTACATAATTTCAGTATTAGTGTTTTCCCTGCCCAGTTCTCACCGTGCTCCTTGCACTTGTACTTGGTCTCCAGGTTTCCGAGATAGCATATTACCTCTCTTTAACAGTGTACATAATTTCAGTATTAGTGTCTTCCCTGCCCAGTTCTCACCGTGCTCCTTGCACTTGTACTTGGTCTCCAGGTTTCCGAGATAGCATATTACCTCTCTTTAACAGTGTATATAATTTCAGTATTAGTGTTTTCCCTGCCCATTTACCGACTCACCGTGCTCCTTGCACTTGTACTTGGTCTCCAGGTTTCCGAGATAGCATATTACCTCTCTTTAACAGTGTATATAATTTCAGTATTAGTGTTTTCCCTGCCCAGTTATCTACTCACCGTGCTCCTTGCACTTGTACTTGGTCTCCAGGTTTCCGAGATATCATATTACCTCTCTTTAACAGTGTATATAATTTCAGTATTAGTGTTTTCCCTGCCCATTTACCGACTCACCGTGCTCCTTGCACTTGTACTTGGTCTCCAGGTTTCCGAGATAGCATATTACCTCTCTTTAACAGTGTATATAATTTCAGTATTAGTGTTTTCCCTGCCCATTTACCGACTCACCGTGCTCCTTGCACTTGTACTTGGTCTCCAGGTTTCCGAGATAGCATATTACCTCTCTTTAACAGTGTATATAATTTCAGTATTAGTGTTTTCCCTGCCCATTTACCGACTCACCGTGCTCCTTGCACTTGTACTTGGTCTCCAGGTTTCCGAGATATCATATTACCTCTCTTTAACAGTGTATATAATTTCAGTATTAGTGTTTTCCCTGCCCAGTTATCTACTCACCGTGCTCCTTGCACTTGTACTTGGTCTCCAGGTTTCCGAGATAGCATATTACCTCTCTTTAACAGTGTATATAATTTCAGTATTAGTGTTTTCCCTGCCCATTTACCGACTCACCGTGCTCCTTGCACTTGTACTTGGTCTCCAGGTTTCCGAGATAGCATATTACCTCTCTTTAACAGTGTACATAATTTCAGTATTAGTGTCTTCCCTGCCCAGTTCTCACCGTGCTCCTTGCACTTGTACTTGGTCTCCAGGTTTCCGAGATATCATATTACCTCTCTTTAACAGTGTACATAATTTCAGTATTAGTGTTTTCCCTGCCCAGTTCTCACCGTGCTCCTTGCACTTGTACTTGGTCTCCAGGTTTCCGAGATAGCATATTACCTCTCTTTAACAGTGTACATAATTTCAGTATTAGTGTCTTCCCTGCCCAGTTCTCACCGTGCTCCTTGCACTTGTACTTGGTCTCCAGGTTTCCGAGATAGCATATTACCTCTCTTTAACAGTGTATATAATTTCAGTATTAGTGTTTTCCCTGCCCATTTACCGACTCACCGTGCTCCTTGCACTTGTACTTGGTCTCCAGGTTTCCGAGATAGCATATTACCTCTCTTTAACAGTGTACATAATTTCAGTATTAGTGTCTTCCCTGCCCAGTTCTCACCGTGCTCCTTGCACTTGTACTTGGTCTCCAGGTTTCCGAGATATCATATTACCTCTCTTTAACAGTGTACATAATTTCAGTATTAGTGTTTTCCCTGCCCAGTTCTCACCGTGCTCCTTGCACTTGTACTTGGTCTCCAGGTTTCCGAGATAGCATATTACCTCTCTTTAACAGTGTACATAATTTCAGTATTAGTGTCTTCCCTGCCCAGTTCTCACCGTGCTCCTTGCACTTGTACTTGGTCTCCAGGTTTCCGAGATAGCATATTACCTCTCTTTAACAGTGTATATAATTTCAGTATTAGTGTTTTCCCTGCCCATTTACCGACTCACCGTGCTCCTTGCACTTGTACTTGGTCTCCAGGTTTCCGAGATAGCATATTACCTCTCTTTAACAGTGTATATAATTTCAGTATTAGTGTTTTCCCTGCCCATTTACCGACTCACCGTGCTCCTTGCACTTGTACTTGGTCTCCAGGTTTCCGAGATAGCATATTACCTCTCTTTAACAGTGTATATAATTTCAGTATTAGTGTTTTCCCTGCCCATTTACCGACTCACCGTGCTCCTTGCACTTGTACTTGGTCTCCAGGTTTCCGAGCACCTTAGCGCTGGCCAGGTTCTGGCTGAAGGTGGACGTGAAGGCCACGCCCGTGGCAGACGTCGTCTTGGCCTCCAGCTTCACCAGGCCAAAGTGGAAGCCCTTGCCGAACACATCGCGGGCAGACTTGCCGAGGTCGCCATACGTCGGGGGAGCCATTGCACTCTGCCGGGAGGGGGAGGGGGTTAGGTGGCAGACTTGCCGAGGTCGCCATAGGTCGGGGGAGCCATTGCACTCTGCCGGGAGGGGGAGGGGGTTAGGTGGCAGACTTGCCGAGGTCGCCATAGGTCGGGGGAGCCATTGCACTCTGCCGGGAGGGGGAGGGGGTTAGGTGGCAGACTTGCCGAGGTCGCCATAGGTCGGGGGAGCCATTGCACTCTGCCGGGAGGGGGAGGGGGTTAGGTGGCAGACTTGCCGAGGTCGCCATAGGTCGGGGGAGCCATTGCACTCTGCCGGGAGGGGGAGGGGGTTAGGTGGCAGACTTGCCCAGGTCGCCATAGGTCGGGGGAGCCATTGCACTCTGCCGGGAGGGGGGAGGGGGTTAGGTGGCAGACTTGCCGAGGTCGCCATAGGTCGGGGGAGCCATTGCACTCTGCCGGGAGGGGGAGGGGGTTAGGTGGCAGACTTGCCGAGGTCGCCATAGGTCGGGGGAGCCATTGCACTCTGCCGGGAGGGGGAGGGGGTTAGGTGGCCGACTTGCCGAGGTCGCCATAGGTCGGGACTCGGGGGAGCCATTGCACTCTGTCGGGGGGGAGGGTTAGATGGGAGGGGTGAAGGGGAGAGAGGGGAAAATGGCCACCCAGCACCCAGCATATCGGAAGAGCTACGCCACTCTCCAGCAGGGCTGCAGAATCTGAGTCACCCTTTGGAGTTATCAGTCCTAGCCAGAGTCAGAGTCAGTCAAGTTTGGATGCTGTAGTATCAGTCACTAGAAATCAACAGACTCATCTGCCCTGCCCTCCATGAAGAGATGGAGAGAGTTTGAGCGGCTGATAACAGTCATTTTTTCATAAGCCGCCAACTATATCGGTGACCAGGAGTGCCCCCTCCCTCTATCCCAGCGACACACAGAACCTTACGTTAATACCAGATGTCAATGTTGGCACTCTCTAAAAGCTGAGGGGAGGGAGGGGCATTTGCGCTGTACTCTGCTGAGACACAATGGGAGATTTAACTGCCCTCCGCTGAGACACAATGGGAGATTTAACTGCACTCTGCTGAGATAGACTGGGAGATTTAACTGCACTCTGCTGAGACAGATTGGGAGATTTAACTGCACTCTGATGAGACGGATTGGGAGATTTAACTGCACTCTGCTGAGACACAATAGGAGATTTATCTGCACTCTGCTGATACAGATTGGGAGATTTAACTGCACTCTGCTGAGACAGACTGGGAGATTTAACTGCACTCTGCTGAGACACAATGGGAGATTTAACTGCACTCTAATGAGACAGATTGGGAGATTTAACTGCACTCTGCTGAGACAGATTGGGAGATTTAACTGCACTCTGCTGAGACAGATTGGGAGATTTAACTGCACTCTGCTGAGACACAATGGGAGATTTAAATGGTGCAGGGACTCAGCTCTGGGTTCTGTACTCTGTAGAATGGGGGAGAGTGGGCAATTTATTTTACTCTGGTAAGACCGAGATATAGAAATTTAGGTGGCTGCTGAGAGGAAGGCATCCCAATCTGGGGGGGGGGGAGAGAAACCAAGGACGAAATTCTGAAACTGAAAAATGCATGGAATTGAGATGGTTATCTACCCAATGATTATGCATGTAATAAGAACTGTGGTTACTGATGGAGACAGAATTGCTGATCGGTCCACAAACAACCTCTCAAAATGACTTCAACTGCACTTCAGGATTAAAAAATAGGTAATTGTTTTGAATTTTGAGCAGCTCTGAGACATTTTGCTACTAAACTGAAACCACCACCTAATTAAACAGCTTTAGAGTTAAATATTTATTCAGAAAAAGGTGTATATGTATTTATTCATTTATTATCAAGAGCCATCTACACAAACATGAAAATTACTGCTCAGATATGGCATTAAGGCAGAGCCGTACACTCAAAGGCAGCCAACTTAAGGGTCTGTTTCAGTGCCTCCAGTAGAAATTATTGACTGGAGGTTCTTCTGATAAGTACCTAGGTATTATTGCAGTTGCAGGAACACAATCTGGGAGTTTCTGGTGATTGATGTCAGGCATACAAAAAGAATGATTATAATCTAATCGTGAAAAGCAAAACAAGCTTTCAATTTTAAAATGTAAAATTTCAAAGAATATAAATTGATTTTCTTTACATTTGAATTCCAAAATTCACCATCAAAAGCCATTTCTTTCCATTTCTTGTTGTTGTTGTTTATTGGGGCTTTAAGGCGCACCGACTACAAGGTCATTTTACATCCATTCTTTGTTTGTGATCGTCAAATGTGCGCCATAATCGTAGACCAGAGCCTCCAGTCAGCCTCCAGGCAAATGTGGACCTTGCAACTGACTGGAACTTGCTGGAGGTTTCCGGAAATTCACTAAGAGCTTTCTGGAGCTTACTGGAATTGCTGGAATGCTGACTGGAGAATTTCTCAGCTTTCTGGAGTTTTCTGGAGGCAATGGAATGGACCTTTTGAGTGCTGGAGCCTTTATTTCTGGTAATTCTCAGTTTGGGTTTAGATCCTGCTTAGGATCCACAAGCAGCCATTGAGAAAGTTGGTCACTTTTATCTTATCAGTTTAAAATGTATTGAACCCCTGAAATTCCTGTCAAGGTTGTAGCCCATTGTGTCTGTAAAATAGATCAGGGACCAAATAATGTCGATACATAACCTGAAACTAGAGACGATCAGCAGTTTAGCCGTGAGAGCATTTGTGTGAATACATTTGTAAGTTCAATGCAGGCTGAATAGAAGCAATAGTAAACGATGACCCATTAATTTGAAAATATTATTTCAAGGACATTCCAATACCATACAAATAATCAGAATAAGTGAAACATCAATTTATTGCAATAGCCGGTGTGCGCAGCAATCGTCTCACGATTTTTCACGTTCCAGTGTTCGTCCAAAAATCCAGACATTCCATGCACCTCATGAACAACGAGCACTAGACATTTACATCGCATTCAATACTTACAAGTTTGTAGAGTTTCAGTCCCTGAGCAAGACAAAAAATACGTATTCAGTGACTGAGCACCGCCCGCCGCCCGAATCAGATTACAGAGGTTTTCAAGAGGCAGGGGCAGGCAGGGGCCCTCAACACACACGCGCAATGCCCCGTGCGTGGACGGCAAAGAAGAAAATGAAAATCAGCTGACGGCGATTCTAGAATGTGGCTGCTAAATTCAATTTAAGTGCAATTCAGACAAGCATACTCAGTAAATGAGGTTGAAATGCTGGTTAAATTGAATTGACAAATTAAACTGTACATTTTATGATGTTTGGCAAACGAATTAAGCCCTACCTATATAGCCTCATTGCTTGATTTGTTTCTCCAAAAGGTCAATAATAGACATGTCAATCGGATGCCAACTTTTTGTTATACCAATACCGATAGGTACCAAACCCATACCAACGTGGTTTTGGTATTTGGTATTTCAAAATTCAAGCCTAATGCAGTTGGCATTTTGTTGGCATCATGAGCAAGACTAACCTGCGCCCCGCTGGGCTATTCAGCCATACGCGCCCTGCTGAAGGGGGGGGGGGGCAGGACGTCAGGCAGGCAACACGCTCGTTTTTCCGCGAAGCTCTAGCTCGATCAGGGGCGAAGCGGCAGGGGGGGGTCAACGGACCCCCCCCCCCATACGTTCGTGGCTGAAAAAAACACCAATACGGGCGAGGGTTAAAAAAAAAACAGAAAAAGAGGAATTGACCTCGAAAAATGCCTACATTTTGAGTTATAACATATAAACCGAAGGAGGGACAGCTGCTCAGTGCTCACCAAAAAAAAATGTTTTACCATGCTTAAACCGTTTACCTGACTGAAGCTTTCCGGTCAAGTTGTTTTGTGACTTCCTTCACAGCAAGGTATGCCTAACGAGGTTGCTGGCTGGTATAAGGCAGCAATCGTAAGTCATGTTTCATTTTTCATTCATTTTTCGACTTTAGGTATAAGTAATATTTGGACTAAAATAATACCGTAAAGTGGGGCTATTTGAAACGGATTTTACCGTTTTTGGCCTCTCCCTTTGAGACGGCTCATATTTCTTATAGCATGTAAATTGCAAAAATGTAGTTCTCTGTGAGCTCTTTCATATAGGTGTATTTTGGTTCAGCTACTAATAATGATTGAGGTTATTTTTTATGTTAAAGCCTGTCTCAAATAGCCCCATAGGGTGGGGTTATTTGAGACAGTTTTAGTTGCAAGGAAATTAAGGAAAATCGGTCACGCTAGAGATAATTTTTTAAACGCCATGCATTTGGAAATTGAATTTTGATCGTTTTGGCAAAAATTGTTTTTTTTTTTCAAAGACTGCTATATGACCTTTATATTCAATCTTTTCCTTTTTCGTGGGACACTTCATTTCGGTAGGGTATAAAATTGCATCACTATATGCTAAGGCTATCATAATATGATGTGACCCATAGCTTTCAAACTGACAGGATGATCATCAAGGACTATTTTAAAGTCATCGACAGTAAAATTTTGAAAGTAAGTTTTTGTATATAGCCCCGGTGACGTGAAAACAGATATACCGAAAGTCGGTGGGGCTATTTGAGACAGTCTCGCTACCTTATGAAGCACACTGTAATGAATCAAACAAGGCAAAAGGTTTCCCAAAACATTTGAGTGAATGGTCTGCATGATTGTTTGTTCCATTGTACATCTCCATGTGAAGAAATAACAGAAAAATGTTAAACGGTTTTGATTTTATGCCGATTTTCCTCGATCGCTGCATGCCGTATCAATTGGCTGGTTACCCTACCTCATCAAGTACTTGGATAGGCTCACCTAACAGTACGTTCATGTGTTAAGTAACATTCGATGGTGTTTTTTGGTCAACAAAGGTAGACATATGTTGATTGTCGAATGAGTCAGTGACTGATGAATAGGGTGTTTCACATTTTCAAAGTGCCATATTGCGAGTCATATCGATGTTCCCCTCAAATGTCATCTGCTCACAAGTTTCTGTGTAAAATTTCACTTCATTCTGATGATGTTTAGAGGTCGCACATTTCTGCGACTTTTCATCTCTGATTTTGTTTCTGGCCGTAACAATGAGTAGTCTTCCTGCGAACTGATTTGGTTGAGAAAGCCAGGCAGTGGCGGCGGAATAGGGGGTGCAGGGGGTGCAGCTGCACCCCCATCGAAAAACACGGGGGTGCAAACATATCTTTTTTGCACCCCCAAAATCCATACAAGGGGCCCGTCGCACCATCAAATACATTTTCTCCTGAAAACCAGTGCAGTGATCGGGAAACGAACACTGATGTGGAATCATCCGGGGTGTCTATTTATGGTCAGGAGCGCCCCATGCTAGTCGGGGCCTCCACACCGGCTAGAAGTGTCCCGAGCCGCGTTTGGTGCTCCACACGGCATCTGAGGGCCCCCACGACGGCCTCAGAGGGCCCTTTTATGACGATCTCTGAGGGCTCCCACCATAGGGCTTTGTCCCCTGGGGCCCTACAACGGCCACTAAGGGCCCTCGTGACGACCGCTGAGGGTCCCACAGAGACTCCAGGGGCCACGCTGGCCTCTGAGGGCCCATATGACGGCCTCTGAGGGCCCTTACGATGATCTCTGTGGGCTCTCACGACGAACTCTGTCCTCTGGGGCCCTATAACGACCACTAAGGGCCCTCATGACGACCGCTGAGGGTCCCACAGGACTCCAGGGGCCCCACTGGCCCCTGAGGGTCTCTACGACGGTCTCTGAGGGCCCTCGTGACGGCCCTAGACCCAACTCAAGTATGAGGGCCCATTTGGCTTTAGGCGGCCCAGCGACGGCCTCTGAGGGCCCCAACACAACCAGGCTGCGGGGGCTATGCTGGCATCTGAGGGCTCTGCAACGGTCTATTGAGAGCGGCAGGGCCCTAACAACGATGGCCTGCAAGTCGTGGAATTCAACCGAAAGGCGCTGCCCAAGCGCACCAAGGAAGGATGTGCCCCCTTCTCTGTGTAACGAGTTTTGGTGACAAAAGTGTGCGACCCCTAAATATACTTAAATTTGGGTTTCAAGCGTATCAATCGATTCAGTTTTACGGGTAGAGTTGGGGCAAAGTCGATATGGCTGAGTTTTGAACCAACATTATTTTACCATAGTGTAATGAAACACCCTACTGATGAAGCACATTTTAAGCACATATTCATCAGAATAACTAGTTTGGTCACCAGCTAAAGGGTTATTATGTTACACTACGAACATGTAAATATTGCTTGCTGCTAAAAGTACCTACCATGAACCCACTGCACGTTTATGACCACGACCGATTCACCGGTGTTGCTTATGTCGAACGTTCGATGCACTTCAGGTAGATGGCGGTAAGTCTTCTCGGGTGCATCGCATCACCGTTATCATCAGCTATTTGGCATATCCGTTGAGGTTTGACCAGGTGGGCATCATCGGGATTATGAGACAATGGGTTACGCAATCGGCAGTACCGTTAACAATATATAATATTTTCATAAAAAATGTGCTTAACCTATAAGCAAAAAGGTAGTAGCGATAGATACAGTGGCGAAGCTGTTAAAACTTCAACTTTTTTAAGCTGCAGGTAGGGGTCCTTTTCGAGCAACTTAAATTGTGCGTTTTTCTGTATTTCGTATTTTATTGCAAATTTCTTTCAGAACTTTTCGAAATTTTCAAAAAGGTTATTCAGAGCATTCATTGTTCAATTCCACATCAGCTTAAGCAAAAATGACGAAAAAACATCAAACGGTTTTCATTTTACAGCGATTTTACTAAACCACTACCTTACTGTCTCAAATAGCCCCACTGTCTCAAATAGCCCCACTTTACGGTAACAAAGAAACCGGACCAATGTTCAGGCGATTGCTGGGGCTGACATCACTGTGTCACCCTGCGCCACTGTTTTGCCGCGGACAGGAGGTCTGCGGCACCGACACCTTCTGCGGGATACACGGACAGGAAGCTGAGACTGATAGCGCCCCGCGCTGCCGTCCGGAGTCCGTCCCGAGTCCGTCCCGAGTCCGTCCGTCTCCGCGGCCACAGGTCGTCCCAGACGGCCGCGGTCCGGGCGGTGCTGGTGGCGGCCCGGGTGGTGCTGGTTACGGTCCGGGCGGTGCTGGTGACGGTCCGGGTGGTGCTGGTGACGGTCGGCGCTGACACGGTCAGATCGGAACTAGTTCAGCCCACCGGACGGTCGGTTCAGGGACTGCTGAGTGTTGGCTCCGTGGCTGTCGGTGCGGCGTCTGCTGGTGCGCGAACTGTCGGTTCAGTACGGGGCAGTTCGAGACTGGCCGTTGGTTCAGGGACTGTCGGTTCAGATACTGTCGGTGCGGCGGTGGTTGGTTCGCGCGGACTGTCGGTGCGGCGTTGGTTGGCTCGCGCCGACTGTCGGTTCAGGCAGCCCGGGACGGTGCCGGACCGTGCGTCGTTGCGGAGTCGGGAGTCAGAGTCACCGCCGGCCGATAGGCTGCTTATGTGACGGCCGGGACCAGCTCAGTCGGCCGGTGGTGTCGCGACCCATTGGTGTGAGATCGCTTTATCCTGACTGAAATTATTGAGAGCAGGGCTGGAGGCGACAAGAGCCCACGTGTGTTGTGTCACTCGGTGTCATCTGACTCATCACCAAACCTCGACAGTTCGGTTCTCTGGGTGTCTTGGCGTAACCGCTTGATTGCGTGTCACCAGTGCTCGCTGTGTGTGGTTTTCTAGCACTTCTTCGGTTCGGGGTGTCACAGACTCACAAACGTGACCCACATCGCGGAATTTGCGAGTGGGTGACACTCAGCAGTGTCACGTGACAATGATTCATCATTCATCTGGCGCCAGTGGATTTAAGAAGACTTGGTGATACCGCTGGACTTATGGCACCCAAAGTGTGACAGTGACAGTGTCAGTGACAGTGTCAGTGACACAGTGACAGCGAGTGTCAGTGACACAGTGAGTCGCGTCCATTGGCTGTAAAACGTCTCCTCAGAGCAAGGAGATGCCTGGAGATAAAGTCAGGTTCTCTGGTGAGTCTGCTGGTGTCGTCTGTCTCTTGTTCACATTTGTCATGCCCTTATACCGTCACCGTGCTTATACCAACTTTACTGCATTTATCGTCACAATGCCGTATTACAATGAAGCGATATCTAATTATTTACATGCGTGAACTAAAACAAGCTCGAAAGCAGACATGCAAAAAACAAAGCAAGCATGTTCTTAGCGCTTTCAATGCACATTGCACATGGATCCGACAAAACGAGCGAGCACTCTTCCCACCACCTCTATATCCAAAAATGAAGTTTAAAAAAAATCAAGCCAAAACGCATCCTTGTTCACATCACCGTTACCGGTTTCCGGTGGACCTTGGCACTGTGGCGGGCAGACCCGACTCGGGGATGTCCCTGTGGGCTGCCGCCGTTTGGGGGGGCTGGACGGAACACCCTATCCCAGCGGGACAGTCCTTACCAGCTGGACACTCTATCTCAGCGGGACCCTCCCTCCCAGCGGGACCCTCCCTCCCAGCGGGACCCTCCCTCCCAGCGGGACAGTCCCTCCCAGCGGGACAGTCCTTACCAGCGGGACCGTCCCTCCCAGCGGGACAGTCCCTCCCAGCGGGACACTCTATCCCAGCGGGACACTCTATCCCAGCGGGACAGTCCTTCCCAGCGGGACACTCTGTCCCAGCGGGACACTCTATCCCAGCGGGACAGTCCTTCCCAGCGGGACACTCTATCCCAGCGGGACACTCTATCCCAGCGGGACAGTCCTTCCCAGCGGGACCCTCCCTCCCAGCGGGACCCTCCCTCCCAGCGGGACCCTCCCTCCCAGCGGGACCCTCCCTCCCAGCGGGACCCTCCCTCCCAGCGGGACCCTCCCTCCCAGCGGGACAGTCCCTCCAAGCGGGACCCTCCCTCCCAACGGGACAGTTCTTCCCAGCGGACCTTCCCTCCCAGCGGGACCGGCTGTGGGATGGTCCCTCCCACCGCGAGTCTTCGTCCCGACGGAATGGGCTCAGCCGCTGCCGCGAGCCGTCCAACGTCGACCCATAGCCCGGCGCCGTCGCAGCCTTTATGCTCCCTTCATCAGTCCAGCCCCTCAACAGTCTTTCTGTGCCGATAGGAGCCCAGCCAAACAAATAAGATCATATACATACAACGGAACATGCAATTGCAAGCCTTCGCAGGATCTAAAACCATCGTTCGGTCATCCTGGATTCATGAAAAATTAAAGCTTTGGTACCTCTTTTCAGCGCATGGACTTTGAGGTGTTTTAACGTCTTTTTATTGATATCTTGTCAGCTGTCGCTAGCAGACTGACGACGAGTAAGAGAGGCATATATTCTGTTTTTTTTTTGTATCTTTCTATTGTCTATACCCACTGCATTTCCTTCCCAGTGTGAATTATCGACGTTATGTGGGCATCTGCCATGACGCTGCATAACGCAAGTCTCATGACCGTTATTTATCAGCCGATTGCAAAATTTTGTTTGGGAAACCGAACCGACAGAAGCAGAAGCAAAGCTTGCTTCAAACTTCAATCATAGACTAATAAACACACGACATTCTGCTCTGGCGTCACGGAGACGCGGTTTCACGGCCCATACGTCAGTGACGTCAGGACACATCAGCGATGTTTACCGAACTATGACGACACAGTGGCTGGAGTGAGCCGGCCCAGCGACCTCCCCCTCCGGCCATCCCTCCGTCCTTCACCCCTCCCCCCACTGGCCATCCCTCTGTCCTTCACCCCTCCCCCACCGGTCATCCCTATGTCCTTCACCCCTCCCTCCCCCACCGGCCATCCCTCCGTCCAGCACCCCTCCCTCCCCCACTGGTCATCCCTCCGTCCTTCACCCCTCCCTCCCCTACCGGATATCCCTCCGTCCCTCCCAGCCTCTCTGTGTCCAGTTTGCTCCTGTAGGTCAATTAGCCCCAGTTCAGTTTAACATCACCTTTGGTTGAGCGTCGGAGGAGAGGGGATCTAGCACTCCCCTCCCCGCCCCAGTAGGGATCGATCACATCCCCTCACCACCCCCCAGTTCGTTCCACTCTCAGCCCTCGCTCCTGGGCTAGAACGAACTCTCTAGTTCGTCATACTCTAGCCCCTCATCCTCACCCTCAGGTCGTTCTAACCCGGCCGTTCGGACTTTTTATAAATTTAGTCCGAACCTTTTGAATGGAAGGATTCACAAGGACAGAGCCCTCGCTAAGCGAAGCCACAACTATACCCGTCAGGAGGTCCATAAACGTCAAACGCCCGTTGCGCTTCGCACCCGGACTGTTGTAACCGGGGACGCGTGCTCTCACTACGCGGAGTCCAGCGCTCTACCGATTGAGCTACGCGCCTCTCTATGTACCCGCTCAGTTCTGCCCTCCTTTCCGCCTCTCCTTTAGAGGCCGCTCTTTGGACAGCTCCGACAGCCCGCCCTCCCGAATTCTGTTCTGTGTTCTGACCGCTCTGTTTGTTCCACAGGCCGCTCTCTGGACGGCGCCGGCAGCCCGTCCTCCCGGCCTCTGTTCTGTGTTCTGACCGCTCTGTTTGGTCCCCAGGCCGCTCTCTGGACAGCTCCGACAGCCCGTCGTCTCGCATTCTGTTCTGTGTTCTAACCGCTCTGCTTGGTCCACAGGCGACCGCTCTTTGGACAGCGCCGGCAGCCCGCCGTCTCGGCCTCGGCACTACCCTGCCGGCGTCCACGGCCCGCTCCAGGAGGCCGTCCTCCGCGGGAGCGCCGAGGAGGTGCGGCTCTTCCTCAACTCGTCGTCCTCCAGTGACGTCAACGCCAAGGACGCCGTCGGCAGGACGGCGCTGATGCTGGCAGTGGAGGCCGACTCCCCCGAGGTTATTGACCTGCTGCTGAAACACGGAGCTGAGCCGAACGAGGGGAACGCGTTCGGCACGTCGGCCCTCTACCAGGCCGTGTGCGCGCGGAGACTGCGCTGCGCCGAACGGCTGCTACTCGGCGGAGCGCTGGTGAACGCCCACTCGCTGCGGCAGCGGCACGCGCCGCTGCACGCCGCCTGCGCGGACGGAGACGCGCGCCTGGTGGCGCTGCTGCTGTCGTTTGGCGCCGACCCTGACGTGCTGGACTACCGTCACCGGACGCCGCTGCACGCGGCCGCGGCCGGCGGGTTCTGCGACTGCCTGTCGCTGCTGCTGCAGAGCGGCACGCGGGTGGACGTCAGGGACCTCCGCGGCCTGACGCCGCTGGGGGTGGCGCGAGACGCCGTCTGCCGCAGCGCGCTGCTGGAGGCCGACGCCGCGCTCAGCGCCGCCGACCTCCGCCTGCTGCTGCGGGAGCGTCCAGCAGCCGTGCAGCAGCTGCTGGACGGCGGCGTGCAGCCGGGCGACGGCGGCGTGCTGCTGGTCGGCTACAAACCGCTGCGGGACATCGGCGGCAGTGAGCGGCCCTTCGAGGCCGAGCTGGTGACGGAGCTGCAGCGCAGCGGCCGCTGGGACCTGCTGGGCCACCCGGCCGTGGAGCTGCTGCTCGAGCTGACCCGGCAGGACGGCTACTTTGTCTACCACACCGCCGCCAAGATCCTGTGGTGCGTCGTGTTCCTGGCGTCCCTCCTGGGCGCCATGGTGGTCGACCTGTACCGCGTGGGCAGCGACATCCCCCGTCTGGAGGTCGCCCTGAAGGGAGTCCTGGTCACACTGAACGTCTTCCAGCTGCTGTTCCTGGTGGTGAAGTGTGCGGTCATCGGCGGCGGGTTCTTCCTCTCCGGCCGGCGCTGGCCCGTCCTGGTGAAGACGGTGCTCATCTTTGTCGTGGTGTTCCTCCGCAGCGAGCCCGAAAAGCGGCTGGTGTACGCCTTCTCCGTGCTGATGGCGTTCTTTGAGTTCACCATGGCCCTGGAGTCGATTTCCGTGTGGAAGACCACTCGCGCCATCTCCTCGCTGCTGCACGTGACGCGCAGTATCGCCGAGTACCTCCTCGTCTACTCGCCGGTGCTGATCGGCTTCTCGGTCGCCTTCTCTGTGATGTTCGGCAGCGGAGACGTGCCGGGCAGCAACCTCTTCCACGGCCACTTCCTCGCCATCAACATGGCGGCCATGGTGCTGGGAGAGGTGGACGTCATGGAGGCCGAGAAGCACACGCCCCAGTCCGGCCTCGGGTACGCCCTCAGCACACTCGTCTTCCTCATGTTCGTCGTGCTCGTCCCCATCGTGATGCTGAACCTGTTGCTGGCGCTGACCATCAGCGACACGACCAAGTTTCTCTCCAAGGGCGGCGCTGAGTTCCTGCAGAACCTCGCCAACCGCACGGCCTGGAACCAGCAGGCCGCCTTCATGGTCGACGGCTGGGTGCACAAGCTGAAGCGGCTGATGCCCGAGTGGCTGTTTCGGCACGTGGCTCGGTACTCGCTGCAGTTGAAGTGGCAGAGCGTGCTGCCGCGGCCCGCGGCGGCAGTGCGCGCCACCCCGCATATCACCGTCGATCCGTTCGCCCAGGGTGGTAAGAAAGTGCGAGCGTTCGTCGCCGGGTACAGCCGCAGGTTTCGAGTGCGCAGCGAGCTGCGTCAGAGTCTGGACGCCATCGTTCAGGCGCGGCGGCCCGCCGAGCCGGTCGTGCCGCCGCCAGCGACAGGGCTGGACGCCGAGGACGACGACGTCTGCGAGTCTGGCCTGGGGAGCGTCGGCACGGGGACGCTGCTGGGGAGCTGCGAGGAGCTGTGCCAGTCGACCACTGGCGTCCTGCGCTCCACGGTCTCCTCCCGGCTGCTCTCGGAGCGGCGGCCCCTCTCTGTCCAGCGGCGGTACAGTCGGGCCCCTCTGACTCACACAGTCAGCTCCTCGGGGCGGGGCGGCCGGGCAGGGCGTACCGCCAGCTCCCCGGTGGCACACCTCGGGGAGCAGCTGGCCGGGATCAGGGAGGTGCTGCAGCGGCAGCAGGCGGCCCTGGAGCGGCAGCAGGACGTGGAGAACAGCATGCTGGAGAGACTGAGGCAGATGGAGGACGTCATGTCCAAGATGGCCGCCGCGCAGTAGAGGGTGGTAGGAGTTGTAGTAGGTACCTAAAATACTATCGTTCCAAGTACGACGAAGGAACAGTACGAGCTTCAGCAGATGGATGAGCACTCGTGGAACACCGATCGGTACCTACCACTCCCTATGTGTAAGCGATCAAACAACTGCTGAAAGATATGTCGCTTTTAAGCTACATTGTACGGCTATTTCAGTGGAATTACTGTGGAAGTGTGCTCTCTGCTAAAAGAATGCCAGTTATGGTTCGTGCAGATTTCCGGGGGGGGGGGGAGCCCGTGTGGCGAGGACTCATACACGGCATAATAATTGGCTGTCGTGTCATCTGTCCCCCGCTCACAGCGGTTACCTGTGAGTCACTGACGGTCCCTGGCTCACCGAGTGGCCCAGCGACTCAGTGGAATGTGTGGATGGAAGTGCCAAATACTCGTCTGAGGACCAGAGCTACCAGGGCAGAGAGGCGCACTGACTATACGGACTGAACGCGCGCGGCTCACAGCCCCTGACTATACGGACTGAACGCGCCCGGCTCACAGCCCCTGACTATACGGACTGAACGCGCCCGGCTCACAGCACCTGACTATACGGACTGAACGCGCCCGGCTCACAGCCCCTGACTATACGGACTGAACTCACAGCCCCTGACTATACGGACTGAACGCGCCCGGCTCACAGCCCCTGACTATACGGACTGAACGCGCCCGGCTCACAACAGTCCCTGACTATACGGACTGAACGCGCCCGGCTCACAGCCCCTGACTATGAACGCGCCCGGCTCACAGCCCCTGACTATACGGCTCACAGCCCCTGACTATACGGACTGAACGCGCCCGGCTCACAGCCCCTGACTACGGACTGAACGCGCCCGGCTCACAGCCCCTGACTATACGGACTGAACGCGCCCGGCTCACAGCCCCTGACTACGGACTGAACGCGCCCGGCTCACAGCCCCTGACTATACGGACTGAACGCGCCCGGCTCACAGCCCCTGACTATACGGACTGAACGCGCCCGGCTCACAGCCCCTGACTATACGGACTGAACGCGCTCGGCTCACAGCCCCTGACTATACGGACTGAACGCGCCCGTCTCACAGCCCCTGACTATGAACGCGCCCGGCTCACAGCCCCTGACTATACGGACTGAACGGGCCCGGCTCACAGCCCCTGACTATACGGACTGAACGGGCCCGGCTCACAGCCCCTGACTACGGACTGAACGCGCCCGGCTCACAGCCCCTGACTATACGGACTGAACTCGCCCGGCTCACAGCCCTTGACTTTACGGACTGAACTCACAGCCCCTGACTATACGGACTGAACGCGCCCGGCTCGTACAGCCCACCGTTAGGCTAGCTAGCTTCTCCGTGGGTCGTGGTTAGTGTTGTTGTGTAGGAGGCCGATTAAAATGTATCCCTGTCTAAGATTCGCCAATATTTCAGTCGAAGCTGCTTGAAAATGTATAGAGCATAATAAATGTCAACAACTTCACCGCATTGAGTGCCATGAGTTCAATGAGTGCAGTTTGAGAATTGAATACATTTGTTGTATTGAACATATTTAACGCTTTTAGTAGGTATGTATTGACTGTTGAGATTTGAGTGGTACCGGCTAGTACCTACTCGGTGTATGCTGTTCACTGTAGCCATTAAGTGCATTGAACGCATGGAGTCCGAATGCATGCAGGTAGGTACTGTTAACGCCAGACCCCTTGAGACCCCGTACCGGGACGGCTGGGACCACTTCTGCGCCTGCCATCTATCGGGCAGTGTTTGGAACTACAGCGGGCGCCGGCCGGCCGCGCCGCGCGGCGCCGTTACCGGGCTATGGAGGCGAATGAAGTGGTATAAAACCAGACGAATTTTACGTTTGTAAAGCAAAAAACGAAAAATGTACACTCACCACAGTGTTCAGCAAAGTACTGGGAACAATATGGATATAATTTAAAGCTAGTACGATGCGAACTGTTGGTTCCCTAGAGCAGTATTTACATACTTGTAGGAGATAGGACTTTAACATTACGGGAGCTTCTAAACTGCGCTCGCAAAGTACTTGATTGTAAATATTTTCATTTAGAGGCAAAAATCTAAAAATGTACAGTCAGAGCGTTGTTCCCAATGCTTCTAGGTACACAATGAGCATAAATTTAGCTCGAAATGTCATCACACATTGGTTCCCAGTCCAGTTTAAAACGACACTTTGTGCCGCAGAGCCTATCTCTTCCAATGGATGGCGGCTGGGTGGCGGTTGTAGTGGTGGACAAGACAATTCTTGAGTGAAATGAAATCATTTGCTTTCAAATAATAAATTTGAAGAACTTGTAATAATTGACAAAAGATCGTTAATTACAGTGTATAATTTCAAGTTCATGGCAAATGAAAATATTTTAAACAATGCTAGTTAACCCCAGTACCGCCGCGCGAGAAAGCAAGTACTCGACGCACGGTCTGCCCGCCACTTCTGAAAATGGTCCGCGGCCGGCCGGCCGCAACCCGACACGCTAATTTTTCGCGATTATTTTTAAATGCGTGGAAGAATTTCAACCAAGCTCAGGACATAGCTGTTTCAAGACCTGCCGAAACTTTTACAATTTAGATATTTTATTGCCATTTCAATATTTCAGGCACTTCTCATTGACTCGTAATGTTAAATTTCGAGCAAGATTTTCACCCGGTGTGTAGAGGCTACCACCAGTCAGTCTGTGATACGTTATGACGTCACAGCTAAGTCCCGCCTCTGTGGTCTTGGCCTGCGGCGGTTTAGGGCCGGCGCGCGGTCACTCTCGCTGTGGCGGGGAGCGGGGACGGTCGAGCGGTGCCGAAAGCCGGCGGAGTTGTGCGTAACGTCTTGGCTGACAGTGCCCAAAGAGCGACATGATGACTGAGGAGCCATAAATGCTAAATGCGCATTGCTTGTACAATGCTGATATGTTCGCTGATATTTGTTTTATTTTTTACAAGCCGCAAATGACGGGCAGATGGCATATAACTGACATAAGGTTAGAAAATATTCACCTGTATTTAAAGCCTATGGCGTTGCAGATAATGCGATACTGGGATGTCGGATGTCGATTGTTTGAATTGGACAAATTAATTCGTATATGATGTAAGATAAAAACACCAAAACCACCCAACGTTTCGTGTTATTCACTTTTTCAAGGGTGATATGACACATTTTACCTATAGAGTCAAGTACATTTTTTCGGTTTCGTTCGAATATTCGAACGAAACCGAAAAAACGTACTTGACTCTATAGGTAAAATGTGTCATATCACCCTTGAAAAAGTGAATAACACGAAACGTTGGGTGGTTTTGGTGTTTTTATCTTACATCATATACGAATTATGTCGGATGTCACCAAGTAGCTGCCGATTTGTAGGTACATCGCTATGCAACCATCGAACAACGCAATAATAAGTTAATTGCCTTCGCTTCACATCATTAAGGCTCGCTCGTATTTCAAACAGATATCCTACATCGAAAATCGTATTTGTTAGGAATCGTTAACGTTTGTTCGAAGCACGTGTGAGTAGTAGGTTGAGGAGTGATTGTCCTCTTGGTCCTAGAGGTATACAAGAGTCAACAAGAGCCTGACATTTGCTTGACCGTCTGCTGCAATTGATTCATAGCACGTGAAGCGTCAGCGAAATTCATAGTCCTTTACAGATGGCAGGGGTGTCGTTTGTACAGAGGTCGCTGATGGGCACGGGTCAATGCCGCAGTCGTGGGCGGAGCCTAATGTCATATGACGTCTGAAAGCCTCTATCCAGGATGGAAAAACAGTTAACATTACGAGTCAATGACAAGTGCCACAAATATTTAAGTGACAACAAAATGTATCTGAAGAAAAAGTTTCGGCAGGTCTTGAAACAGCTCCTTCCTAAATATGGTTGAAATTATTCCACGCATTTAAAAATAATCGCGAAAAATTAGGGTCTCAAGGGGTCTGGCGTTAACAGTAGGTATGTGTTATATGAGACTCTATGTACCTATAAGGTTCAGAGTCTGCCCCTTCGTGAAAATTCCTTAGATGTGGCCCTGAAGTAACCGTGATAAAAGAATGCATGTTTTTTTTGTAATAAGCACTACATTAAGGACAAAGGTCCCTTTCCTGGGAGGCCACCCTTTGGGCCCCGAGAAGCTCTGCTCCTTCTGGACCAAAATCCGTGGCGCTGTGCCGGCTCCTGCACTTGTGCACTCGCCGTGCAGTAGCACTGTGCCTGCTCCTGCACTGTACTTGTGCACGTGCCGTGCAGTAGTACCACAGCGGTCTCATCGCTCCATTGATGTGTTCAACTGTTTAGTCTCTCTTGAAAGTATTGCGCCTCGATAGTATCTCTATCAATCCCTGATCTGAGAGCCCTGGCTTTTTAGATTTGGCCACCTGGGCGGCCCGTACAGAACAGTGCGTACCGACTACCGCAAAACGGGCTATTAGGGACAAATTTTGACTTTGACAACCTATCATTCAGATGTTGTTCTAGCGAGCGGAAATGGTGCTGTTTTATCAGACGTGCGTTCGGCATCCTGATAATCAGGGATACTTGTCCGGGATCACCGGGATCATTTGGTGTTTTAGGCTGACACCGTGCATAGGAGGTATCGAACATGAACACGAGTAAAAGAGCCACTATTGAAGCAAACGCAATCTAAACATGTAACTAATTGTATCGATGATCACCGGTGATCCCGGATAATTATCCCTCATTTTCCGGATGCCGAGCGCAAGCAAAGAAAAAGCTCTTGAGCAGTAACAATCTCTTCATATAATCACATTTTTTTGCGACAAAATTGTAGGTTTATGACTTTTAACCCGGCGGCCACTGGGCCCCCCGCGCCGCCCGCCGGCCGCTGTGGGGGGGGGGCATATAGTTGCCCCCCTTTACTTCTGTGGCGATGTCGTCGCAACACCAGGAGATAAAGAAGCGAAACTTTGCACACATTTTCCTGAATACCTAGCCGAGATTGTGTCCAAATTTGGTGTCGATCCCATTCAAAATGACGTCACAGTGACGTCAGAAGTCAAATTATAGATTTGCGACTCCAGTTTCCTCACGATATATCCGACATATGAGACCGAATATAGGGGAGAGTGGGGTAAGATGCCCAGGGTGGGAAAGACGCCCCACCCCCTCTAGCGGCGAAACAAAGAATCGAACCTGGAAATTAATGTTTTTAGCGTAAAGCGGAAGCCTGCCTTGTTAACTGCACAAAAATTTGCGAAGCTCAGTTGGGCAACAGCTGGCTGGTGATTGCATGTTTTTTATTTGCTGCTTTCAAAAAATATTTTGGTGTCAAAACATCGTAAATATCAAAGAAGGTAGATAATTTTTGCGTCCCTTGCTATAGTCGTGATACATTAACATGCGTGTACTGTGTCCCAAACAGTTTGTTTCAGGGTGTAGTTTTATGGCTAACAAATTGTGCTGATTTAATGTTACTTCGGTACTTTCGGGTAAGATGCCCCCCGTCCTGATGGGGAAAGACGCCCCCCTAAATCCCTAGGCTGTCCTTCAAGCAGCCCGTCAAATCATTTATTACATACTTGTAATGAGAGACAAAAGCTGATCTGGGACTATTGAGAGTCCAGTACGGTCGGGTGCTCCCCATGCCGGTCTCTCGGTCCACACAGCGACTTTTTGGGCGGCACCTGACTGAGAGTCCTCACGACGGCCTCTGTCGGCCCCATTATTGGCTCCAGGGCCCCTCACGACATCCTTTGAGGGCTCCCACGTTGACTCCACGGGCCGCGCTGGCATCTGAGGTCCCCACGATGGGCTCGAGGGCCCTCAAGCATCATGAAGACCTGTAAAGGCCCCACAGTGGTCTCCGAACGCCACCACGGAGGCTTGTTTGGCCGCGCTGGACTATGATGGCCCTAACTATGACCTTTGAAGCCCCTTACGACTACTTTTGAGGGCCCTTACGATGACGTTTGGTGTCTTCTGCAGGCTCGATGGGACAACTGATTCGTTCAGGCGATTCACGTGCCCATTTATGTCACTTATAGTGCAGGGGGCATCTTCCCCAACGCCAGGGGGCGTCTTTCCCACCCTGTGGGGTAAGATGCCCCCTTTCACTTCTTCAGGAAAATGCTTAATAGCAAAAAAGTTATCATATTTCAGGCACGTAAGTGTGATATTTTTGGAGAAAAATGATGTCGGCTTCCGTTGAAACTCCAAGTTTTTGCTTTCTGATCGTCATTTTCGAATAATATATGACAAAGCAAAACCCTGGGCATCTTTCCCCACTCTCCCCTACCTAATGGACCGATTATTGGTCAGGAACTAGTTGGAACTATACTTAGATGTTTTAAGATGACAGCAGGTGTTGTCTCGGGTTCATTTACACTTGAGTTTCATGCTCAGCGACATCAGAAACGGTCGATATTAGAAAACACAAAACATTATTACGTCACTGTGACGTCATCTTAAATGCTACAACCACTAAACTTTCCTCATATTCATTTGAAGTTATGCCAAGTTTCACGTTCGTAGCTTATCAGGTTTCGGAGATA